CACCTTAAACTTCATATGGAACCAAAAGAGAGCCCGCATAGCCAAGTCAATTCTAAGCAAAAAGAACAAAGGGGGAAACATCACACTACTAGACTTCAAACTATACTACAAGGTTACAGTCATCACGACAGCATGGTACTGGTACCAAAACAGAGATACAGACCAATGTAACAGAACAGAGGTCTCAGAGGCAACACAGCGTATCTACAACCATCCTATCTTTGACAAACCAGACAAAAACAAGCAATGGGGAAAGGATTCCTTGCTTAATAAATGGTGTTGTGAAAACTGGCTAGCCATGTGCGGAAAGCAGGAACTGGACCCCTTCCTGACACTTTACACTAAAATTAACTCCAGATGGATTAAAGACTTAAACATAAGACCTAGCACTATAAAAGCCCTACAAGAAAATCTAGGCAAAACCATTCAGGACATACGCGTAGGCAAGGACTTCATGACCAAAATACCAAAAGCATTGGCAACAAATGCCAAAATCGACAAATGGGACCTAATCAAACTCCACAGCTTCTGCACAGCAGAAGAAACAGTCATTAGAGTGAATCGGCAACCAACAGAATGGGAAAAAATTTTTGCAGTCTACCCATCTGACAAAGGGCTGATATCCAGAATTTACAAAGACCTAAAACAGATTTAGCAGAAAAAGACAAACAAGCCCATTCAAAAGTGGGCAAAGGATATGAACAGATGCTTTACAAAAGAAGACGTACATGTTGCCAATAAACATATGAAAAAATGCTCATCATCACTGGTCATCAGAGAAATGCAAATCAAAACTACATTGAGATACCATTTCATGCCAGTTGGAATGGTGATCATTAAAAAATCTAGAGACAACAGATGCTGGAGAGGATGTGGAGAAATAGGAACACTTTTACACTGTTGGTTGGAGTGTAAACTAGTTCAACCATTGTGGAAGACAGTGTGGCGATTCCTCAAGGACCTAGAAATAGAAATTCCATTTGACCCAGCAATCCCATTACTGGATATATATCCAAAGGATTATAAATCGTTCTACTATAAGGACACATGCACACGAATGTTCATTGCAGCACTGTTTACAATAGCAAAGACCTGGAACCAACCCAAATGCCCGTTGATGATAGACTGGACAGGGAAAATGTGGCACATATACACCATGGAATATTTTGTAGCCATCAAAAATGATGAGTTCGTGTCCTTTGTAGGGACATGGATGAACCTGGAAAACATCATTCTGAGCAAACTGACAGAAGAGCAGATCAAACACCACATGTTCTCACTCATAGGCGGGTGTTGAACAGTGAGAACACATGGACACAGGCAGGGGAGCACTACACACTGGGGTCAGTTGGGGGGAAAAAGGGGAGGGACGGTGGGGGGTGTGGAGTTGGGGTGAGATAGCAAGGGGAGAGATGCCAGATGTAGGTGACGGGGAAGAAGGCAGCAAATCACATTGCCATGTGTGTACCTATGCAACAATCTTGCATGTTCTTCACAGGTACCCCGAAACCTAAAATGCAATAAAATAAATAAACGGAAAAAACAAAAACGAAAAGAAAGTGGAAAGAAACATTTTAGGATATGTTTCAATATCCTTTTTGTTTGTACATTATACAAGTTGAAGACAAAATACATTTTAAACAGTATTTCTTGTAGTTAATGTTCTTTTAGTCATAAAATATTAACATTAATTTATAAAATTTATAGTTCGTAGTGTAGAAAATGCAGTCAGATGTTTATGTTTATGGAAAAATGTATATTGTAGCAAATAATAAAACAGTAAATGAGGAATCTGTATGGAAATAAAATGTGAAACTTAAAAAATTAGTCAAAAGAGCATTCATCTTTCAGTGATGTGAAATAAATACTGTATATTTAAATATCTTTTGACCTACAGTCAAGTTTTTCAAAAGAATTTGGGAAGTGGTAAAAGACTTTGGTACTTATTTAGTGTGCAGCTGTTGTACAGCAAATTGAAAGTGAAGTATTTTATCCTGTCCTTATTAAAACTTTATCTGTAAAAACACTGATTTTTGTTTCTTTCTTTGTTTGTTTTAGATATTTGGTTTCCAGGCAGGACTGACGTCTTTGGATTGCAGTGGATCTTACTGCTTACCTGTACCGATTATTCCCTCTTTCAGCACTGCTGTTTATGGTAAACTTCTGAAACTCCCCACATGCTGGTAAGTCTTACGTGTTAAAATGTGACTCATGTTAATTTCTGTTTTTTATGAGGGAAAACAACCCAAATGTGTCTGTCTTATGCCCACGTTAGTTTTATACAAAACTTTAGAAAAAATATCTGAACTTGTGCTTTTACTGAGACACTAAAAATCTTTTTTAAGTTTCTGAAATCTGTTAGTTCATAGTGTCTTTTGGGACAATAATAACTGTTATTAGGGTAGTAACTTAATTCATGTTGTATATATATAAAATACTTCAGATTATAAAAGGAACTGTAAGAGCAACTGCCTTTTTTTTCAAGATGGTATAAAGATTTTAAAAAGGTATAAATTAATATCAAGGCCAAAGTATTTATTAAGTAGTAATTTCATATATATTCATAGCCACTTAACAAAGTATACTCATTATATAGAGTTAGAATGTATTTATATATCTAGTAGGTATATTTTGTAAGAAATTGATTGTAGGTCACTATTTTCATTCAGGATTGAGTTGCCATATTTGATGGTCACATTTTCTTAAATTCAAAGAGATTTACAGAAAGAAAGCCAGTAATTATCAATTACAAATTTTTAGTTTAAAGGAATGCTTTTAATGTATTGTTTAAATATATAAAATAATGTTTAAATATATGAAATTAATTTTTAGTGAGCCAACTTTCCAATTTAAAATGTGAATTATTTTCATTATTTAGAATATGTCTTTTGTATTCTCATTGGTAAGCTTATTTTTGCAAGATAGTTTTTCTATTAGTTTTTTTACTAAAAGTGACATAACCTTTAGAAAATTAGCATTAATTTCTTTCTTTCTTT